GTTGTACTGTAAGAACGAGATCCGATTAAACTGAAGTTACTGACGAAATAAAATGAATTTTTAAAAAAAATTAATTGTTATCTATTGATCTTTCGTGTAAAGTTGAGTTACCACGGCAATTCCGCAATATCGTAGGTTTTTAATTGGGCCACGTCTTATGACATTTTTTGTAATGTTTGCTATTGATAAAAGATTTCTGGATATAATTCTTAAAAATTGGGCGACGTCTTATGACATTTTTTTCAACTAGCTACTTCTTCACATGAAATAAAAATTGACTGCAAAAAAAATTTATCGTAAATTTTCATCTACAAAATTACATTTTAAATTATTTCAAGAAAATTCGGAAAAGTATTCTCTTATACAATTCATCGAAAGTAAAGAAAAAAAAGACTTAATTTTATAGATGATATAACACTCCATTTGATTTCAAACTTTATTGGTGTTTCAAAATTTTTTTAAATAATTATTCAAAAATAAGAATTTAGTTTTGCAGAGTCAGTCGAGACGTGTACATGGCGCAAAGATTCGCATTCATTCGATGATGGCAGTTTTCATGGGATACTCCAAACACTTGAAGGAAAATTCTGAATAAGATTTATACTATCAAATATTTATTAATATTTTGATCAAATATTTGATCTACAATTTCTTACGCACACTTATGTGATTTTTTGATTGAACAATGGATAAAAACAATTTTATGAGCTCGTGCAACAGTAAGTTCGATCATTATTGATTAATTTCAAAGTATTTCTAATGGGGATATGTCTAAGAACTTTCTTTGTAATCTTTTCTATTAACTTTGTACAGACTTAAAGATAGATTTTTACGGACACGCAGTAACTTTTAGAGAGGTTCTGAAAGATATTTAATTTTCGTATAAGAAAAAAAATGGTTCCGAATTTCTCATTGAAGAATAGAGTATTGTTGTTAAACGAAAAAAGTTTCTGGCAGCGTACGTCCAAAATTATATGGAAAAAGACCCGTCAAAGAAATTATCTAATGTTTTCCAAGATGAAATTTAGACCTTCAAGAACGGGACCAATACAACATGTAGTTGGCAAGACAGTGATCACCGTAGTTATTCACGTCGGAAAACTGCAACTGGACAGCTATACATCATTTGTCATGCAGTTGATCAGGATGAATTTGTGCCCAACGCATCGTTCATTTAGGCCACTAATGCCAAATCTATTCTTGGTGACGATTAACATGGCCAAATGAACAATAGTATATTTTAGGCTTGGTTTGCAAATAACCTCTTACCTAATTTGATGAAACCATCACAAATAATTATGGACAATGCGTCATACCACAGTGTCACAGTACATAAAATAACTACATACAATGATGTGATATTGTCAATAAGAAATGGAGTAACATTTGTATTATTATTCCAGAGAAACCGCCAACCTGCAAGTCATTGGCGGAAATCTTAAGTCAAAGAATGGCTCGATGTACGGCATATTCCATTTAATCGACAAGAGAATAATAAACAATTACACGCTTTATGTGAAGCCCACAAGGAAGCTCTCATTTATGAGTTGGCCACGGGCCCCCCGGGTTTACATGGATGTTTCTGTCCTTTAAGATGTGTCGCGTAACACGGGGGCAGATTATAGTTCGTCGTACCCATTTTGACCGCCGACCAAAGCGGATAAAGTTGGTACTACGGGAGGCCAAATTCCAAGCCCTGTGCCTAGGGCTGCAAAGTTAAAATATGAAATATAGGACTAGGTACAACTGGCCAATTGAGGTCGAACTCGTAGAGGTATGTTGAAAGGCCTCGGGCTTGTTACGTGTATCCTTGTGCCTGTTTCAAGGTGCAGGTATACGCGTCTCGGGAAACGTCATCGCGAAGAGAGTAGAGTTATAATTTCCCAGAGTTATGCCCTAGTAGGCGAGGTACTCAATTTTCGTCTTTCGGAGGGAGAAAGCAAGGATTATGCGTTGGCCAAGACCCCTTGTGGCCGCAAAAACCCATAAATGGGAAAAACCCTAATTGGTTATTGTCGTAGTTAATCTTCTTCTTAAGATGCTCTATATCGACGAACTTAGTATTGCACACTGTACGTGTGCTCTCATTGAAGGGCTTGGTTATTTATTTTACGCTATTTTACATTACTTCCAGTTCAAGGATCCAATCGAGGTTCACACCTACGAAAAGTCTTGACGGCTCTTAAAGGCAAGCAAGTTTCATCTGTATGGATGTGAATGCCTGATATCCTCTGTGGTCATTAGACTTCGATACCAGAGGGAAAAGCTTGCAAATTTCCCTACTGAATTTAGTCTGGAAGTTCTCAACAAAATCGAAGAAGGTCCCACATACAGCTTCTCAAGAGGAGAGTCGTACATAGGCGTGACTGTAGTGACTAACGGACTGTCACAATTCCTTAGCAAATGTTCAGTCGGAAGAGAGTGGGTTCAGGGGTCAGATCACATGGCTATCGGAATCCAGCTTGGACTAGCCACGCCTGGATGCCTTCAGGGCTCTGTGCTTAGCCCACTATGCTGGAACATCATGTTCGATGATCTGTAAAAACACTTGATCAATCCGAACGTGAAAAACGCTAAGCAGCGTACGCGGACGATTTAATTATCATTATAGATGGCAATTCTAGAGATACCCTTAAAGCCAAAGGACAGGCAGTCGTTGACACAAAACTCACTTGGTGCAAGAATGTCAAGCTAGAGTTATAAGAAACTAAAACAGAGGCAATCTTCATAAAAAGAGCAATTAAACTTAGAGGCAAGAGGAATTACAGGGATGAAAACAATCCCAACTACCAAGAATATAAACCACACCTCAGACGGAAGAAAGATAGGCACGAATGTAAACCGCCGAGAATCACTGTAAAGGGTAGCAGGATCAAGTGCCCAGAGGTGGTTCGGTACCTGGGAGTCTGGTTCGGCAGAGACCTTAACATCTCCATGCATATTCATAAACGACTGCCGCAAGCGGAAAAGTTATTCCACAAAATAAGACGACTTTCGAGGATGCGTTGGGGACTTGCTTATCACACCTGTCTAACCATATATAGGGGGTGCTTCCTGCCGGTGGTCGCTTATGCGTCCCCGGCATGGAGCGATTTATGTAACGCTAAAGATTGGCTGACGCTTGCGGCCAGACAGAGGGGCGTCTTAGCAGTTGTCGCGCACGCTCGCCTATCTACCCCAAGCGACGGTTTCTGTGTGGCGGTAGGTGTCCCGCCTATACGCATAGCGATCGTTGTTCTCAATGCGCGAAATACACTTCGTATTGACTAAGCAGTTACATACAACAATGTTCGGATTTCTCTGAATGACAGTACGTCAGAAGAATCGTCGACGCCGATAATGAACCTCAGGTTACAAACACTTAAAATATGGCAGGCAAAATGGGATGCGTCCGAGATGGGTTGCAAAACATACCAATTCTTTTCAAACATAGCAGATAGGCTTGATAGTAATTGGATACGCCTGAACAACCTGATGACACCAATATTCACAGGACATGGAATATTTCGTGCACACCGTGCACAATATGCCATCGAAACACACCAAACTTGCCCTAATTGCAATAGGGGAGACGACGACACAGTAGAGCACTTCCAGCTGCACTGTCCTGCATATAGGGACAAACGTAGGGATCTCTTATCGGTCATACGTTCGGAAACGAACGTTGACCTCAGCCTAACATGGCCTGAAATAGCGCCAAAATTCGTCCAAACAAAGGACACATGTAAGGCACTCGAACAATTTGTCAAGGCGTGTGCGGAAAAGAAATTGTTCGAGGAGATCAGAAGAATCCGCAAGGGGGTGAGAGAAAAGAGGAGGGTAGCGCGAACGGGGGCAGCAATGCCCAACACACAGAATCCTCCGCCCCGTAGAAGAAGTAGGTCATTACCAGCGCCGTAAAACATAGCTCGTGAACTTTATTGATTTACACCTGGGCGTTGTCGGAACACCGAGGCAACGGTTGCACGTCTGCAATCTTCGCAGAACACCTGTAACCTGTAGATCAAACGGATAGGGATATTATTTTCCATTTCACTTTACTTCACTTAATAATCTCCAATAATAATAAAACTTTTACATATCTTAGGGAACACCTAACACTAAACATTTCTTTCAGCTATCGACGATATAATCGTGCTTCCCTCACACCATAAACAACTGGGGCCACCGACCAAAGCGGATAAAACTGGTACTACGAGAGACTAAAATCCAAGCCCGCATCCGGTGCTGCAAAGTTGAAAAACGACATGTAGGAACCGGGTGCTTCCGGTCAATTGAGGTTGGACACGTAGTGGTATGTTGCAAGGCCTTGGGCTAGATGCGTGTATCCTCGTGCCTTTCTAAAGGCGCGCAAATATTACGTCCCAAGTAACGCCGTTACTAGAAGTAGAGCCATTCCTAGAGTTATGCCCTATAAGGCGAGGTACTCAAATAAAATGTCCTTCTCAGGACAGGGAAACAAAGACTTATGTGTTGGCCAAAATCATAGGAAAATATAATATACCTCATCAAATTTTGTTTTTACCCCCTTACCATTGCTTCTATAACCCCATAAAGATGGTATAAGGCATTGCAAAAAATAAATTTGATAAGACAATCGGTAAAGACGGTGATTTCTCCGAAGCATCAGTCCAGACAACCTGGAAAGAAGCCATTAATGTGACACCACGAATGTGGTATAATACAGTAAATTCCTTAAGAAAGGTTTCCCGGAAGCTATCTTTTGATGACCCGAATATAGTAACTCACAGATTTTGTCGATATGTTTATTGAAATACCTGAGACGATATTGAAGCTAAAAGATGATATTATCTATTCTTTTAGGACACTGAAGAAGATATTGGCGCGATACATGATTCGTCAAAACTGTTAGCATGGTTATTGAATCAGTCAACGTAGTGAAAACCATCATTGAGAGAGACCAAGACACTGCGTCTACCTCTTCGAGATAAATATATTGATTATTATTTACATAAAATGAGATTTCAAACAGTCTACTAGTAATAGTAATGTTATGTTCTTTCATAGACAATGTTGGAGCAATACCAAGGCCTGATACATAGAACCTCTGTCAATAAACGGGTTTCAACATACAGCCTTTTGACTATATGCAGTGATGCATCATTGACTGATGAGGTACGCAGATATTCAGATAAAATTATTTATGGCATCGTGATCATGATATTGGAATTAATAACTAATATTTATTTACAGATAATAAATGTGTATTTCCAGCTCATAAAAAAATGGTTTACAATGGATATACATATTTTCAACACGTTCTTCTTTGCGGCTTTCTGTAATAGAGACTATAAAAGAATCAAAAGATGGAGGAGAAAGGTATTTCTTCGTTAATTTTTGAAAAATCATTATTCATATCGACTTTTATGCATTTTCTTTTTTGACAATCTATTTTTTTTTTGCTTAGGTTGATAAATTTGCAAAGGAACTCGGCCTTTATTATATAGTTAAGAAGCATGGAAGCAAAAAAGGAAGCCCATTAGATAAATCGAAATGAAAAATATATCAAAAAAAAGTATGTACAAAAAGTCATATTTATTATTATTTGAAATTCTCTATTATCTGTTCTCTAATTGTGATGTAATTGATATTTCCTAATGAACTAGGATGTGCTCCAACAACGCAATGGACATGATTGTGAGGTTTTTATATGTGCGTATGCCTTAAAATTAAGTCATGGAGAGAATTTTAATTTCACCTAGAATGACATGGACAACTTCCGTCTTGACATATTAGAAGATATTTTCTCGAACATCATTCGCACATCTATAGAAGAAAGATCGTCAGCAATACAACCAGCATATTCATCACATCAAAAAGCATCTTCGGATTCTATAAAATATGCCATCAACATTGAAGGTGCATATCTATTACAGTTTGCTAATTTTCATCAACGAAGTAAAAAGATATTTTCGCATAATAATAGAAACACACAGTACACAAGTATATGTGCGTATGCATTGTGCCAGCTTTCGTCGTATGGAAATAATTATACAGCTATATCACCTGAAATATTAGACGAAATTTTGATAGAAGGCGACAAATGCTATTTTCAATGTCTAAGACAACGCGAGACGTCCATTGATACCAGTTTCCTTAATGTTGAAGAACTCCAGCCAATATTCTTTGGTCATTATGAAGTCGTTATTACTATCCACGACATTGGGTATGGAAAATGGAATGACAGATTCGTACTCAACAACATCATTGCAGCTATTGATAGCTGTGTTTCAAGAGAATTAAAAGAAACAACAATAAATAACGGATACCTATTCATCGGTTTGAACAAAACTATCGGCTTCAAAATTTTTTTTGATGGTAACAAAAATACATCATTTATTATGTTCAATTCGCACAGTATTGACAAACACAATCAATACTGCAATGATGGTCGAGCGAAACTACTTCACTGCAACAACAGTAAATCACTTGCTAAATTATTAACAGTTGATTCTAACCCTTCTGAGACGTATTGGCAAATTTGTGAACTAATTTTCATGAATTATATTAATGACGGAAGCTGATGAAAAAAGTTGATATAGTTGCTACGCTCAATGGAATTAGGAAAAAATTGGACGGTAAATAATGGCGAAGACTTTTGTAGTGAGGAAGAATGCTCAATAAGCACGTTAACATTGTGGTTCATGTCATTGAAGTTTAGGTTTTCGTGAACCTACAAATGCGAATTTTCATGGTGGTGGTGGAGCAACTTCAAGAAATTCAGATAAATCACCATGCTTGTATTATTAGGCTCATCTTGTTCTGCAACACCAGAATTTTCATCGCCTACTGCCCAATATTCTATAGCTCCTTGTACCAATCAATCACCAGTGCCACTTATGGGTTTCAATGAAGATAATATTTTCATGCCTACACCCAGCACAGCTCATCATCCAACTTCGCTTATTTCGCCTGGAACCAAATGGAAACATTCTCTAACAGCTCAGTCTAATTCAATTGTACAATTTTTAAAATTAGGTATAGAAAATGTGTAATACATTAAATATGTTACTTAAACTCATTTTAATCAAGTACATTAGAAATTTATATGATTATATTTTTCTTGCTGTTATTAGGTTTTCCATAATTATATAGTTAAGAAGCATGGAACAAAAAAGTGGAACTGATGTACCATTACCTGCACTAAGTAGTGAAGATGACAAGTATTGGCAAGGCACTATGATGAATCTAAATAGAAAAAATTCCACAGATGGCACAAAGTATCTTCTGGATACCCGTCTCACCCTCCACTATTACACAGTAATGCAGTATGCAATTGGAAAAAAGGTTTGAATCTCATCTTTGATATGTACAATCAATGTGATAAATGCTTATTGCAGATTTTACTATACCTATGATATAGTTCATTTAATAATCTAAGATATTTTTTGATATAATGTTTTAATAATTACTGTGCACATTATACTGTTGCTGAACACTTGACTTCCTTTTGTACTAATCATTCTTTTTTTAGCGATTTAACATCTACTCAAATGGGATGATTACTCATCATAATAACATTTTAATTGATAATCTATTTATTGATACACTTTTATAATTAACATATAATTTTTTAATTTTTATTAGTTCAATGATATTGAGTCTTTTCCACTGTTTTGTCTCAATGATGAGTTATATTTTTCAATATTTGTAAATAACAATGTATCTGAAACTTTTTTTATTGAGCGAGATATATTGGCTTGCGATTCTTTGTTATTGATTGAAAATAACTTCTGTATTGTTACTTGGATACTACAAAAGAATTCATATAACTGAATTTTCTCAATTTCATAGAAATTTTTCAATGTCAATTGTGGGATTTTACATGATTCTCCATACTTAATTTTCTAATTGTTTTCAAATTTAACATTTGCAATTGGTATTTTTAGGATTAAAATGTAATAAATAAAAGATATTTTATCATTTTTGGCGATAAAGTAACGAAAAAAGCTCGATATTTCTCAGATGTATAGCAGTGTTTCCTGTTTACTGTCTATCATCTTCATCTTTAATTTGAATAAAAAATCTATGATTAAATTGCTATTTCTACTCTACGCTACTAACCACATTTCATAATGATTAACCCCGAAATTTCATAGCAGCTTTTTCCCACTAGACAACCGTAGTGTCAGACTAGCCTGAAGAAAGTCCACCACCATCAGCATGAAGTCCGCCTCTTAGTGTTCCACTTATACCACTTAGTATTGGAAATTCGGGTGAAGAGCAACAACTTACGTGTCTTGTACCAGATCCAATAACTCCGGCTGAGAAAGAAGATGGTGATGTTTTTGATCGTACTAAACCAATTACTCCTGCTGAAGTAGATAATGATTCAAATAGACATCATAGTCAATCTCTCAGTTTTTTACATACTAAAAAACCTCAAAGTCCATTAAAAGTAAGTCAATTCCGAAGTTTCGTGAAATCGATGTCACTGTAAGTTTAAAAAAATTCATTACATCATTATTTTCATTTTTACAGCCTAAACATCGTATAAGACATCCTATGTATGCATTCATGATATTTTCAAAGCCATCGAGCAGTTGTACATCATAGACACTCTCATCAAGACAATCGAACTGTTTCAAAGATTCTTGGTGAATGGTGGTATACACTGTGTAGTGCTCAAAGGTAACCCTTGCGCTAATTAATGATGCTTGAACGGCTCCCGCGTAAAGATCTAGGAGACGTTTCCCAGATTTCTAAATATTCCTAGGTGTCGCTTGACCCACGGTCAAGCTATTATGACACTATCTTCTCTCTCTTCGTCCTGCGACGCCGAACAAGGCACACTGACTCTCTCCCTACTGTCGCTCTGCTCCAAAAAGGAACCAACATTTTTGACTCCGAGAAATCACGTGTTGGAGGAAGTGCAAGCTTGGGCATCCTCTTTATTTCTTTTATGGGATCACCGGCCCCGGCTCATGGTCACAATTCATCAAGTAAAAGGGTTAACATAAAAGATAACCAAAAGGCAGATAAATACGGTAGGAGATTTTATATATAATGTAAAATAAGAACAAATTACAAATTTGGAAAATTAATAAATAAAGAAAAACGTTTATTAAAGATTGACAGCAATTAATTAAAATGAAAGAATCCGTACGGTCAACTCAAGTCTCAGTCAAAAAGTGGAGATAAACAAACTCTCCCCTCGTTGCTATAAACAATCTAATCGTTAAGCAATCGTCGTTAACTAACAAACTGTCGTTAGTCTAATAGTCATTAGATGGCAACATACAGATATTTAAGAATATTTTGCTAGGAAGGAACGTAAAGCCTCAAATCTAGGTCGCTTTCGGTATCCATATTAATCTTAATTGAGTGATCTAATGATCAATAATAATAGCGATTGCGAATCATAAAGATTTTAATTTTGATATAATCTATAAATACATATCGTGACTCAAATTTATGTCGCGGAATCCAGTGTCCAACCTGGATTTATTTTTCTATATCTTGTAAATATAAAGCGTGGATAAACGTAAGGTGACAATATTCCTGAGATCCAGGATTTATCATCTGACTAGCAATCGAATCAAGATTGTATTATTTTGTATGGAGTATTTAGATGAATTATTTTGATAATAAATCTTGCCAACATTGTATTGAAAATTTTGATGTTATTTTATTTTATTTATCAATATTTGTCTCACTACAACTGAGAGTTAAAAAAAAATCAAAATTATTATGATTTAGCATTAGAAGTAAAAAGAGCTCATGTTAAAGCTTATTCAGATTGAAAGTGGTGTAGTAAAGATAGACGAAAATTATCAACAAGTTTAAAAGGAAATGAAACTAAATCTGAATTAAACAGTACCGGTAAGGAAACTGATACTGGTGGTCCACCCAGTGAAAATTTTTTTCGAAAATCTATTTAGAATTTTTCTTTTTTTTTTTTAAATAGTACTCATTATTTATTATGTAATAAAGTAACATAAATAAGACACATGTATCTCAATGAAAACACGAGCATCGAATACAGACCGATAACTCTGATAGGAAATGCATCTGATGACGATTAATCAATCGAGATAATCGCCTACTAGCAGTCGAAATAGAGAAAGTTTGCATATTACTTCAGAAATTATTTGCCGTCCTAAACGAAATGAAGCGTATGTATGTGCGTATGTTCGTATGTTCGTACGTGCGTTCGGAATTATTTTTCGCCTCGATTATCTCGAGAACAAAAAATGATATCGACGTGGGACCAACTGCATTCGACGCGTAATTACGTAACTTAGAACTGATTAGATTTTCAGCAAAATTGGTCCAGTCATTTTTTATGCAGAATCAAAAAACTGAAAAAATAGTGAACTACTTAAATTCTGCAATTATAAATTATACCATTTTTTAGACGGAATTTCGAGATCTTTTGAAAAATATGAATATCAAATGTTTAGAATAATTGTACAGGAATATGATGACAGTATTTCATAGAAGAAAAATTTTTAAAAAACGAAATCAGCAATAAAGAAATTTTAAACTTGTGTTGGGATGGAGAAAATAGCATTGAGGATAATAAAATAGTCAATGACTATTGTTAATAATAAGAAATTGTGTTCATAACGATTGAACATTCTTAATAACAAATGATTATTAATCATAGTAATATTACATAATAAGTTTTAAATTGTTATAAACAATGAAAATAGGGACCCTTTCTATATATATGAGTACTTTTAACGCATAATTTTTTCTTTTACTAAAAAAATGTTACCAACCGAACCTATATATAGAAAGGGTCCCTATTTTTATTGTTTATAACAATTTAAAATTTATTATTTAAATATTACTATAATCAATAATCACTTGTTAGTAACAATGTTCAATTGTTATGAACACAATTCCATATTATTGACAATTATTATGGACTATGATAGCGTCTTTAATGCTGTTTTCTCAATCCTGACACGAGTTTAAAATTCTTTCATTGCTGATATTGTTTTTTAAATTTTTTTTTTTCGATGAAATATTGTCATCATATATCCATACAAGTATTCCAATCATTCAATATTCATATTTCTGCAATGATCTTGAAATTTTGTCTAAAAAATGGTATAATTCATAAATTGAAAAAATCAGGTCATTTTCCATTTTTGCTAGTTTTTTGGTTCTGCAAAAAAAAGGGCTAGACCAATTTTGCTGAAAATCTAATCTAATCTAAGTTACATAATTACGCGTCGAATGCAATTGGTCCCACATCGATAACATTTTTTGATCTCGAGATAATCGAGGCGAAAAATAATTTCGAACGCACATAAGTACACACTCACATACGTACATACACAACCACAGACGTCCACTGGAAAACGATCGTATTCGACTCTGGGAACCTTAAGACGTGGAGATATGTGAAAATTCGGGATTCACAAAATCGGACCCATCCCTATAACTTCTCACTGGGAAGTAAATAATTATTTTATTTTAATAATTAAAACATGTTTGTTCTTTATTTTTTTATCCATTAAAATTTTACATAAATGTAATAATTGGTTGTTTATATTAGTTTTAAATAAATTTCCATTGTCTTTTAAAGACAACATTTTTTAAGAAAGGAAATTCATAGTAACTCGTTTCTCATTCTCAGCTTATTTTCAGAAAAACGAATTTTATTTCGTAATCAATTGGAAGAATAATTTAGTAAAATATATAAATTGATATATAAATATATGAAGTCACTTAAACGAAAAAAACAAAAAAAAAATTGCCATGACTAGGATCGAACCCTGCCCGTCAAAATAGAAGTCCAGCGTTCTGACCACAGAGCTATTGTGTTTATAATCTGCATATTTATGCGTATAAAGTTTAAGCTGCAGGCTTGGGCATGGAGAGTGGGGTTGAAGATTGCCCGCAAAATGCCGAAATTCGCCTCGGATTGTTTCAATTGCTTCTAAATATTTTTAAAAATCCTATTCATTTCTGGAATAGCAATAAAATGTCTAAAAATGGTCGAAAAATACAAATGCGTAAAGTTGACGAAAAAAAAAAAGATTTTCATCACACAGTAAAAAATCGAAAACATTAATTTTGTCTTAACAATTCTAACGGGGAAATGTTCAGAAAACGATTCTGGACATTCTATAACGCATTTGTATTTTTCGACCATTTTTGGACATTTTATTGCTATTCCAGAAATAAATAGGATTTTTAAAAATATTTAGAAGCAATTTCGAGATCTTTTGAAAAATATGAATATCGAATGTTTAGAATAATTGTACTAATAATAATTGTAGTAATTGTAAATTGGCGAAGAAATTAGAAATATTCCGATCCCATGT